GGGGAGTGATATTTGCATTATTTCATATTCAAAGGAAGTGTGTACAGATGTCCTTGTTTGATGACGTGGATCAATCTATGGCCTTCATATTCCTTTTATCTTTGTGTCATTGTCATACACTTTCATTATTTCAGGTTATCTATTTTGTCGCTAAATGATTGCCTCATGCTTTATCTGAGTTAGACTCCATAGTTTGCACTTGTTATCTTCTTTAGTTTCTTATTATGCTTGTTTGTGTTGTATCACCCCCGATGCTTTAGCACAACTGAAAAGTCATCGTAGCGTTAGCACGGGCATACTACTAGTTAACATAGTAATTATCGTAACTCAAAGTGGCTACATAATAAGTTATTTTGTAGTCAGCTACAGGGTAGTAGTTATATATAACTTAGTTTGTGGCTGCATACTGTTCTGTAGCTGACCATAGAATAACTTAGTTTGTGGCTACTCTGAGTTACGATAATTACCATGCTAATTTACCAGACTACAATAACTCTTTACTAAGTGATTTACTATAACATTATGGTAAATATCACTATGAGTTATTGTAACACGAGTATCGTAAATGCATATTCATGTTATCGTAAATTGGTACAGACATTATCGTAAATCAATGTGGCTATAGAATAAGTTATTATATATATATATATATATATTAGTGCCAGGAAGATATATCTTGGTACCGTCACATACTTATAGAAAATCATACAGAACTAGGTAGTAATATTGATCTAGAAGAAGGTCAATATACACTTGAAAATAGCCGCCAGGCTAATTTGGATAGAGCCTAGGGTACACAAGAATTGGTTGGAGCAAACTATTTTTTCGGGTCCCTGGTGTTGAGCCAGGGATGTGGATTATCTGGTTTACGCGTCTGAGGGTAAGTAATCTATACTTTAGACACGTTTCAACGACACATTGTATACACGTTTTCTTAATCCGCGTCTGTGATATATGTCTTACAAAGACCTATTTTCTAAGAGCCAACATATCAGAGACACGTTTTGGCTACACGCGTCTGTGATCACATATCACAGACGCAGCTCGGTTTCGCGTCACTAGGAGCAGGTGTCTGCTATTTTTTTTTACATAGTGGAAGCTAGCTCGATGAGACACGATAGGATACAAGTCGAGGTTGTGAATTGCAACCCCTGTATCCAATTGGAGACAATTCAAAGGTTTCGTTGTTTTACAAATAGAAGGAAGTTGCATACACATTTTGTGATGGAGTACCAAGCTGCCCAAGAACACTATACACCAAATAAAGGGAAAGCAAACCAAATAAAAAGGCGTAATCAGATTTAGCGCGTCGGGTAAGGTAACCACACGTACGTGTCCTTGCAACAATGTAATCATCATCACTCGTTGCAATGATTATTAATTGGAGCCATGTATGTACTAGGCACTGTACGTGTTGCCCTACTTGGGCGGGGAGAACTTGGACTTGATGCTGTCCATGACCCCGGCGTCGGTCTGGAACGCCCGCGCCAGCACGTCCGTGGGCACCGGCGGCGCGGCGCCGAACAGCGCGGCGGCGGCCGCCTGCGTGCCAGGCATCTGGCTGTCGAACGCGGAGATCGCCACGGCGGGCGCGGCGCCGACGCTGCGCTGGAAGTGCAGGAGGCCGCGCGGGAAGACAAACACCTCGCCCCTGTTCACGGTGCGGCTGAAGAGCCGGCCCCCGGCCCCCGCCGCGGCGGTGATCACGAAGCCCACCTCCAGGGTGCCCTTGGCGACGAAGAGGATCTCCGTGGCGCGTGGGTGCGCGTGCGGCGGGGACACGCTGCCCCACGACGCATAGTCGGTGCGCGCCATCGACACGCCCAGCGTGTTGAGCCCCGGACCGCCGACACGTCCGCCGCCGTCACCGCTGACCCCGTTGGGTTGCCCGTGTACACGTCCGCCGCCGCCGCTAGGCCGCCGAAGAAGAAGTCGTCTGCCGTCACGTTCGCCTCCGGCTTGCACGGGAACCCGTTCACCCGCAGCGCTGTATGTACATTTATATGCGAGAGGGCGAGAGATGAATGAACGAAAAGTGTATATAGAATGAAAATGAAAATGCATGGGAAGTGGCGCGTGCATGGGTCACTTACGGCCCTTGAGGGATTTGTAGTCGGCGACGCAGATGTCCTGGAGCATGTCGGGGTCGCCGGCCAGCACTGCAGGTGCGGCGACCACGAGGAGGCCGACGACGGCGAAGCTGGCGCCGAGGAGAAGGCCGGGGACCCTGAGCTTATTCAGAGCCATGTTTCTCGTGACGATGGTGTATAGCCAGCTGAAGCTGGCGCAGTTAGCTGATGTGTATGTAGTACGTGACTGAGTGTGAGCTGTAGCAGCTGGAGTAGGTTGTTAAGGGCGTAAGGAAACTTTATTAGGTTTTTGTTTTGATGGAAAAGAAGGGGTAGAGGGAGCTGCTATTTATGTATGCAACAGGCACAGCGAATTGGATTACAGCTTAATGAACAGTACGTACGTGACCAAGTAATGGATCAAATGGAGTGCGCGCGACGACGACGACGACGGGTCCGTACGTACTCCTACGTACGTACAGTCGTACGCAGCTGGGCGCTAGGTGATGCATGTGAGAGTCGAGAGATATAGCCGCAAAAGACGTTACTTGTCACGTCAAGTTTCGATTGAGAATGCAATCGTACCGTACCGTCGTACATACGTACGGGTGTGTGGTCGTCCCGGCCGGCCGGTCGTTTTTATGCAAATTTTGACCCGCGGATATGCATGGATCCCCCGGCTTAATCCGTAATAACTCGAAGTTTTTGTATATTAGTAACATGCACGTGAGTCTCCCACCCCTATAATACACCAGTTAAAATAAATCTATAGCCACATAACAAATGTCTGCTCCACAGTCACGACCTATGCTACATCAACATCTATGAATGCACCCAGAAAATATAACACCATCAAAACAGATGTACCAGATTATCTCTTAGCTATTTTTTTTATTACTCATCCAAATCCGATGGCCCATATTTAATGTGTCTGCCCTCCCACACGCATGCGCCTGAGATCGCGTATGGTACTCCTCCATCTCCCACGCCCGCGCCCCAGCAACGCCAAGGCTCGGCCCGGGTTTGATTCCATCCCGCGCGCCATTCTGTTCTGTTCGAGAAAAAAAGAAACGACGGGTGAGATCGGGGCAGGTGGGGAAACGGCGGCCGCACGCAGAGGAGTAGGGCATGGTAGGGGCCGCACACGGGTGTTATCCTAGATGTCTCCGAAGGTGGCAGCCGCGATCCACGCGCTCGTTCCTTCCTCTTGAAGGCCGGCGCGACGCGACTGGAGATCGGCGGCGACGCGGGCGCATGCCGGAGTAGCGTCTCCTCGCCGGGAGATGGACGGCGGCGCGGGCGCAGGCCGGAGGAACGTCTCCTCGTCCTTTGGATCCAGGGCGGCCACCTCGGCCACACAGGACGGCTCCGCCGGCAACTCAGGCCGCCCAGCGCGGCCACAGCCGACCGGCCGGCCGCCCGTCGTAGGCCCCCAGGCCGTTCCCCTGCGGGAACCAGGCTGCCGACGCCGCCATGTTGGTCGTCGGAGTCGGAGCCGGAATCGGATCGGGAATCGAATCAAACATCACATCTATGGTATGTTACGAACTCCCCGTTCTACACGAATTCCTTTTGCTTTTTTCTTCGGTTGGATCTTCTATATAAAACTAGAAGGTGCTATTGGGATTTCATCGCCGAACAGAACAATTACTTGATCTCACCGAGCAGAGAAGCGCCTCGACGAGCAGAACAAGTACCTAATCTCGCCGAGCAGAGAAGCTCCTGATCTTGCCGTACAAACCTCACCTTCAAATTCTGATTTCGCCGAGCTGAGCAAGAACCAAATTTTCTTGCCGAGCTGAGCAAGAACCAAATCTTCTTGCCATACACACGATCGACAAGGTTAGCTTCCTTACTATTTGTTCTGATGGCCAGACGCTGCAGCAGGTTATACATACTGCCCCACTATGCATGCCATGTCAGGCTGTCAGCACTACGCGTCCTGTGTCGTGTTTGTCCTGCAGCGATTTCACTTCAGCTCTCGCAGCAAGTTGGTGTGGTGTTGTTCCGTGAGATTGCTTGCATTGCATACGATGCTACTATTATTGGATTGTTAATTTGCAAGTCAAATTGGATATAATTGGCTCATTGATTTTAGTTTGATAGAGGTCTGCTCTGAAGCTCCATGCTGATCGGCTGATGGCATCAGCTGGCCTGCTCTCGGCATTGATCAGCACACATAAGAACTGGAATTCTTGTTGAAGCCTGAAGGTACATGTTATAGATACCACATCATATGATGAAATAAAGCTCTGATTAGAGCGATAACTAAGCGTTTCCTCTGGAAATTTAGAAGCTCCTAAAACTGATACTGGTCCTCCGGGGAATGAATGAAGTTTAATCTGATTCATTTGGTGGACCAAAGGATTTATTCTGGTTCATTTGGTTGGACCAAAGAATTTTGTGTGTTTTTTTCAGCCATCTTGATCATTCAATATTTTTAGTTCTTATAAAAGTGTATTTGCTGCTGCTGTGTATGATTGAGTTCAGACTTGTTGAAGCCTGAAGGTACATGTTATAGATAGCACAACATATGATGAAATAAAGCTCTGATTAGAGCGATAACTAAGCGTTTCCTCTGGAAATCTAGATGCTCCTAAAACTGACTGGTCCTCAGGGGCGGAATGAATGAAGTTTAATCTGATTCATTTGGTGGACCAAAGGATTTATTCTGGTTAATTTGGTTGGACCAAGGAATTTTGTGTTTTTTTCAGTCAATCTTGATCATTCAATATTTTTTGTTCTTATAAAAGTATATCTGCTGCTGCTGTGTATGACTGAGTTCAGATAAGATGATCTTGCTTTCCTCCAACTACACGCTAACAGCGTACTGTTTAGCTTCATCTTCATAGTTCTCAAATCAAAAGCATCGTCGTTGAGACTCACCTGCAACCTTGAGCTATCCATGTCAAATTAATTTGGAGCAACAAGATGCACGTCTGTTCTCCATATATCAAATTAGCCATCACAATTTGCTTCTCATCTTTGGTGAAGGCATATGTGCAGCAACCGGAGAGCAGTAAGCTGAAACTTGCACAACTGGAGCAGGAACTCCAGAAAGCTCACCAGCAGGTAACACTTTCTTAGTTGCATGTATGTTTACTGAGTGCTTGGAAAATAGTACCTTTGTGCTGTTATTTTGACTCTCTTTGATATTACTTTCAGGGAATCTTCATTTCGAGCTCTGAAGATCAAACCTATATGCCATGAGTGGAAATGGAAATATTTTAATTTGTTATATCTGTGTAGCTCTATGTGTTTCTGGATTTAATTAATCTATCTTGATTGAGTGCTATCTTTATCTTTAGAAGTGCATCTGAAATTATAAACTTGTTGCAGGAGTATTGACTTTTGACATTGAATATGCTAGATGGCTAGAGGACCAAAATAAACAGATAAATGAGTTGAGGACTGCAGTGAATGCTCATGCAAGTGACAGTTATCTACGGCTTATTCTAGATGGCGCAATGGCACATTATGATGTTATGTCTTATGTCATTCGATCATTGAATATCATGACTTACAGCAATCTCTGGTTTTTTTGTTCATCGCCTTTATGTTAGGTTATTAAGTTGTGAGAATCTTGTTTTTCAGGATTTGGATACCCTAACGCCTACCTTGATAGTAAGCAATGGTGTTTATGTGCGTGTTAAAAAATATGTTGGTTTGATTTGTTTTATTGTTTTCATGTGCATTCCTGAAATGAAGCTGTGGCGTTAGCACGGGCACTATATACTAGTATATAGAAATGCTTTGCATGCGTGCAGTTATTTCCTCTCTGCTGATCGATTTTCGCGCGACTCAAGCAACGTGAAAATGACATGCATGCATACAAATGGTACCGGGATGAAATCGACGTTTAATTATGCTCAGTCATTCACTTTGAATAACTATCCGTTCGGTTTAATTTGTACAGTCCCATTCACGCCATATATTTTTGTTCTCACGGCACAAAGTAGGGGGTGTGTGTTGAAATAAAACTTAGACATAATAGGATCTTAATCTTAGCCTAAGCACGATCACTAACTCAAACTTATGCGGAATAGATCTTAGTGACTAACCAGAGTCCGTAGATGCCATCTATGCCTCTGTGCTTCATGTAGAAGTTGATGTATATGAAGTAGATCTTAGTCTTCACCAGATTTGGGGCTTGATGCTCCTAGTTGGTGAAGAACGCGATATAGATCTGCAACAGTATCTGGACGTGGGTAGACGACCTTCCTAGACCCTCCGGTGTCTAATTGACCGGTTATGTGAATAGTCACATGGATTAGAGAGAATAATGACGCCAGGGGTGCTTCTCTTATTTATAATTGCGCTGTGGGCCAGGGGGCCGAACCCTTAGAATTCTAAGGGTTGCCGCCAATCACGGCAGTTCTTATTTAGTTGGATATTAATGACGAGTGAGTGGACAAAAAAACTTAATGTTTAATTAATCTCATAATTAAGTTCGGGATTGGCCGAACCGATCACATTCCAACAGGATGCACAAAAAACCGAGACCAAACAGCCCAAGATTTTGGTTCTCGGTTCCTATATGCCGGGTTTCATGTTCACAAAGACCGATTTCTGGAGTATTTCGTATGTTGGGTCAGTTTGATTGGGCACTCGATGACCCAAACTACGCAGCAACACATATGCTCGCTGCGATCAAACTATCAAAGCCTTATATATCCACTGCTTATGTTCGCTCCACGTTTTTCAGCTAAATAAGTGGAGCTCTGCAAACTCTGCTCTAGAAAAAAAAATAAAGTAGTGAGAGCACCTCAAAAGATACTTCATAAACTCCAATTTTTTTTGAGCTACTCCACGCGGTGGCCGAGAAACTGCCAATTGTTCGTTCGATCACCCGAATTCTCGGCCTTGTTAAAACTGAGCACTATACTATACTTCAGTCACTAGGGGATTGAAGAGTACTCATTATTGCTTATCTATGTAATTCCATCAGTAAAACTGATGAGGGTGTATTTGACGATTGGGATATATCCATCATGGTTTATACCAACTTTATCTCCAAGACTTGCTTTTGAGGTACTTGAATTCACGATGCCAATATTCATTTGGTGCTTTCCACTTTAATACATCTTGTTAACAATCCATAGTCGTTTTGGGAGATTACCCGTTGACCCTAACTACCTAGAGCGTTTTGCACGTAGAAACAGAGATATTATGCAGACAAAGAATATATGAAATAAACTGTACCCATCCCTAACACAAAATTCTATGCTGGGCACGCATATACACGCATAAAGAAACAATTCATAGAGACAAAGGTCAAGATTTTTTTTATTGCGGAACGGCGAAAAGCTTCACTGTGATTTTTATTAGACATAAAGAAAATGGAAAGACAAAAGGTCAAGGCGTTATATATAGCGTCAAATTCATCTTTTTTGTAGGGCCGGGCTAGGAAGTTCATACGATAATACGACATGCTCTTGGTGATTGTAGGATTAATTCTTGCTAGCTTGAGTCCAACTTTCAAACGGAGGATGTGCTAGTTGTCCACATTGTTACACGCGTTTGAGAACAATAATGGCGCCACATTGGCAGAACCAAAGGGGATCAACCATCACATCGGTCACATGCGTATACGAGGAATATAATGCGATTTGTCTCTTTAGGAATTAACCATCACATCGGTCACATGAATATAATGCGTATACGAGGAATATAATGCGCCCTGAGAATTCTTGGTGGCGCCCGATTAACCATCACATTGGTCACACGCGAGTGCAAACCTCTTCTACCAACAATTCTCAGCGCGGAAAGATCAAATCGAGCAATGGAGTTCACAACCGCCCGTTTTAGAGGCGTCCACCACCTGTACCTCGCAGATGCCCCGTTTCAAGGCTTCCACGAAAGCCACCACGATCCGTGGTGGAAGAGCCACATTGTCACTCACTTTTTGTTACCTGCAGCTTGCTGCCTGCTACTTGCAGGAGGCCTCTGCAGCCTAGTGATTTGGAGGAGGAAAAAACCGGGAGAACAAAAGGAATAGATCTATTGCTGATGGGGCTATCTATATCAAGAGGTAAGCCTCAATCTACACCCTCTCCCTCCTAGATCTGTACCTCCATTTCCTAATTCTTTTTTCTCTCTCTCTGTTCATTACAGGATCAAGGCAGAACCAAAGGGGCAGTAGCGGCTCATGCCCCCCAAGTGAAAAAATTTTAATACCCTATAAAAATTTCAATTGCATAGCGTAAAAAGTTACACGCGTTGTTACACGTGTTTGAGAACAATAATGGCGCCATTGGCAGAACCAAAGGGGTGAGAACAATAATGGCGTCATTGGCAGAACAAAAGGGGCAGTAGGGCCCTGGGGCATGGCGCCCGATTAACCATCACATCGGTCACATGCGTATACGAGGTATATAATGCGATTTGTCTTTTGCAGGAATTAACCATCACATCGGTCACATGAATATAATGCGTATATGAGGAATATAATGCACCCTAAGAATTGTTGGTCTCGCCCGATTAACCATCACATCGGTCAAACGCGAGTGCAAACCTCTTCTACCAACATTTCTTAGGGCGGAAAGATCAAATCGCGCAATGGAGTTCACAAGTGCCTGTTTCAGAGGCGTCCACCACCTGGACCTTGCAGATGCCCCGTTCCAAGGCTTCCATGAAAGCCACCACGATCCGTGGTGGAAGAGCCACATTGTCACTCACCTTTTGTTACTTGCCTGCTACTTCTTGCAGGAGGCCTCTACGGCCTAGTGATTTGGAGGAGGAAAAACCGGGAGAACAAGAGGAGAAGATCATATTGCTGATCTGCGGGGGCTATCTATATCAAGAGGTAAGCCTCGATCTACACCCTCTTCCTTCTTTTCTCTCTCTGTTTATTACAGGATCAAGGAAGAAGCTACTGTGCTCTACTCTTAGCTGCAACGATGGTTTCTGTAATAATGCTGTCTATAGAGGTATGAAAGCAATAATTATGGAAGCGGACAGAAATATAAGGATAATATGTAATTCCTTTGCCAGTAGGGGCTCATCCCCCTCCCCTGAAAAAAATTTAATACCCTATAAAAATTTCAATTGCATAGCGCAAAAAAGTTATTATTTCACCCATTTTTTGATAATATTGTGTTTTTTCGCTATGAATACTAAATACGTACGTAAAAACATTGAAAAACCATTGAGACATATACTTGATGTATATATTTATCATATTTATGAAGTGTCATCATATTGCCCGCCCCCACTAATCAAAACTCCATGGCGCTCCTTTCTTTGATGGAGGTACGGTAGGAGGAACAGGGACTATCAGGTCTCCTGCTCACAGTTTTGACGACTCCAATTTCTAGATGATGATGTGTATGCATGATGATGAACGACGACATAATTTATTATCCGATGAATATGTTGCAAGAGCAACAATATCCAGGCAACAATAATCAGGACACTCATTACTCTGGATTTGCACGTTGACAGAAACACACCACCCTACACAGGCTCACGCAGAAATTGAAACGCAACAACAGTGAACTGTCGGTGAAGCCATGCATGGCTATCATGACAATTCTTCAATTAAATCACACACTCGCGATCGGAGTAAGTAGTACGCACTCGTTATTACCAGCGTATAATACGTGCATGGTGCTTGCATGCATGAGCATGACAGGCCTATTACTTGGGCGGGAACTTGGACTTGATGGCCTCCACGAGTCCTCCGTCGATCTGGAAGCTCCTGGCGAGCACGTCGGTGGGCACGGGCGGCGACGCGCCGAAGAGGGCCTCGGCGACGGGCTGCGTGCCGGGCAGCTGGCTGTCGAAGGCGGAGAGCACCGCGGCGGGGCCGCCGCCATTGTTCCTCTGGTAGTGGACGAGCCCCCGGGGGAAGACGAAGACCTCGCCGGCGCAGACGGTGCTCGCGTAGAGGCGGTTGGCGGTGGTGACGAAGCCGACGTCGAGGGAGCCCTGGAGGACGAAGATGACCTCGGTGGCGCGCGGGTGGACGTGCGGCGGGTTCACGCCCCACGGCGCGTAGTCGATGCGCGACACCGACACGCCCAGCGTGTTGAGCCCCGGGAGCTTCTCAACGTTCGCCGACGTCACCGCGGACCCCACCGCGTTGCCCGTGTTGCCCGGGGTCGCCAGCACGTTGGAGAAGAAGTCGTTCGCCGTCACGTTCTCCGGCCTCTTGCACGGGAATCCGTTCAGCCGCAGTGCTGCAAGGCATTGTTATTATTATATATAGT